GCGGTGCATCAAGGACATAATTCTTCTATGCAGCAATGAGGATAGTCCTCAGATTACGGACCCAGTCTGCATCATTGCTACTTTCATCTTTCAACTTATATTTCTCTAGGAACATATCAAAAAATAAACGGGGAGCTACATCGCAAGCTATTGATCTACAACATAGATATGCAAATACTATTAGGACTAAGTTTATGATAAATTTAAGTTCAATTAATCATATTACTTAAGAACTACCACTTAGATGGACATCCCTCTAGTCATCTAAATGATCACGTGATCCATAATAACTAAACCATGTCCGATCATCACGTGAGATGGAGTAGTTTTCAATGGTGAACATCACTATGTTGATCATATCTACAATATGATTCATGTTCGACCTTTTGGTCTCAGTGTTCCGAGGCCATATGTGCATATGCTAGGCTCGTCAAGTTTAACCCAAGTACTCTGCACGTGCAAAACTAGCTTGCACCCGTTGTATGTGAACATAGAGCTTATCACACCCGATCATCACGTGGTGTCTCGGCAAGACAAACTGTAGCAACGGTGCATACTCAGGGAGAACACTTATACCTTGAAATTTAGTGAGGGGTCATCTTATAATGGTACTGTCATACTAAGCAAAATAAGATGCATAAAGGATAAACATCACATGTAATCAAAATATGTGACATGATATGGCCATTGTCATCTTGTGCCTTTGATCTCCATCTCCAAAGCACCGTCATGATCTCCATCTTCACCAGCTTGATACCTTGATCTCCATCGTAGCATCTTGTCGTCTTGGCAACTATTGCTTCCATGACTATCGCTACCGCTTAATGATAAAGTAATGCAATTACATGGCGATTGCATTTCATACAATAAAGCGACAACCATAAGGCTCCTGCGAGTTGCCGATAACTTTTACAAAACATGATCATCTCATACAACAATTTATATCTCGTCACGTCTTGACCATATCACATCACAACATGCCCTGCAAAAACAAGTTAGACGTCCTCTACTTTGTTGTTGCAAGTTTTACGTGGCTGCTACGGGCTTCTAGCAAGAACCGCTCTTACCTACGCATCAAAATCACAATGATTTTTCGTCAAGTGTGCTATTTTAAACTTCAACAAGGACCGGCCGTAGTCAAACTCGAATCAACTAAAGTTGGAGAAACAGACACCCGTTAGCCACCTGTGTGCGAAGCACGTCGGTAGAACTAGTCTCATGAACGCGGTCATGTAATGTCGGCAAGGTTTTCGGAATCGCGATTTTGTTATACGATTCTACGACTTTACGATCCAAACTAACCCCTATGATTCTACGATTTTAGTTCATAGAATCTACGTTTCTACGATCCTGATAGTGAAGATTATACGATTTGCGATCCTACCATCGGAGCTCCGATCCGATTCAAAATCACGATTCTGACAACCTTGAATGTCGGTCTGGGCCACTTCATCCAACAATGCCGCCGAATCAAAGTAAGACATTGGTGGTAAGCAGTATGACTATTATCGCCCACAACTCATTGTGTTCTACTCGTGCATATCATCTACGCATAGACCTGGCTCTGATATCACTGTTGGGGAACGTAGTAATTCAAAAATATTCCTACGATCACGCAAGATCTATCTAGGAGATGCATAGCAACGAGACGGGAGAGTGTATCCACGTACCCTCGTAGACCGAAAGCGGAAGCGTTTAGTAACGCGGTTGATGTAGTCAAACGTCTTCACGATCCAACCGATCATTGTACCGAACGTACGACACCTCCGTGTTCAGCACACGTTCAGCACGATGACGTCCGTTGAGCTCTTGATCCAGTTGAGGACGAGGGAGAGTTCCGTCAGCACAATGGCGTGGCGACGGTGATGATGAAGTTACTGGCGTAGGGCTTCACCTAAGCACTACGATGATATGACCGAGGTGTTGAACTGTGGAGGGGAGCACCACACACGGCTAAGAGATTGTCTATTGTACTTTGGGGTGCCCCCTGCCCAAGGAGGAGGCCGGCCAAGGAGGGGCGCGCCATAGGGGGAGTCCAACTAGGATTCCCAGTCCTAGTTGGACTCCCCTTCCTTTTCCAAGAGGGGGAAGAGGGAAGGGGTAGGAGAGGGAGAAGGAAAGAGGGGGGCGTCGCCCCCTCTCTAGTCCATTTCGGACTTGCCATGGGGGGGCACCCTTGCAGCCCTCCTCTCCTTTCCACTAAGGGCCATGAAGGCCCACTACTTCCCCCGAGGGGTTCCGGTAACCTCCCGGTACTCCGAAAAATACCTGAATCACTCCGGAACCATTCCGGAGTCCGAATATAACCTTCCAATATATCAATCTTTACCTCTCGACCATTTCGAGACTCCTCGTCATGTCCGTGATCTCATCCGAGACTCCGAACAATCTTCGGTCATCAAATCACATAACTCATGATACAAACCGTCATCGAACGTTAAACGTGCGGACCCTACGGGTTCGAGAACTATGTAGACATGACCGAGACACATCTCCAGTCAATAACCAATAGCGGAACCTAGATGCTCATATTGGCTCCTACATATTCTATGAAGATCTTTATCGGTCAAACCGCATAACAACATACGTCATTCCCTTTGTCATCGGTATGTTACTTGCCCGAGATTCGATCGTCGGTATCATCATACCTAGTTCAATTTCGTTACCAGAAATCTCTTTACTCGTTCCGTAATGCATCATCCCGCAACTAACTCATTAGTCGCATTGCTTGCAAGGCTTATAGTGATGTGCATTACCGAGAGGGCCCAGAGGTACCTCTCCGATACAATGAGTGACAAATCTTAATCTCGATCTATGCCAACTCAACAAACACCTTTGGAGACACCTGTAGAGCATCTTTATAATCACCCAGTTACGTTGTGACGTTTGATAGCACACAAGGTGTTCCTCCGGTATTCGGGAGTTGCATAATCTCATAGTCAGAGGAATATGTATAAGCCATGAAGAAAGCAATAGCAATAAAACTAAATGATCATAATGCTAAGCTAACGGATGGGTCTTGTCCATCACATCATTCTCTAATGATGTGATCTCGTTCATCAAATGACAACACATGTCTGTGGTTAGGAAACTTAACCATCTTGATTAAGGAGCTAGTCAAGTAGAGGCATACTAGGGACACTCTGTTTTGTCTATGCATTCACACATGTATTAACTTTCCGGTTAATACAATTCTAGCATGAATAATAAACATTTATCATGATATAAGGAAATATAAATAACAACTTTATTATTGCCTCTAGGGCATATTTTCTTCACCATGCACACGGGATCTAGGGTTTTCTGCTCGGCTAACTCCGTGCGCATGAGGTCCTTCAGCCCATGCACACGGGGCCATCATGTTGGGAGCGTACACTTTGGGGGGTTGTGGTATAAAACCACCGTCTTCCACCCCCAACCAAAAAAAATCTAATGTCTTGAGCTGCTCCACCCTTCCAAACCCCCCCAATGGCTCCTCTCAATCCCTTGGCTCAAACTCCACCATATTTTGAGGAAAGAAGAAGACTCTTCTATGTTTCACAAAATCAATTCGTGATCCCCGCTCGATTTCATCACCAACACTTGTTACTCTTGGAGTTTGGAGCTCCTAGGCAGTAGGAGTAAAGGCCCGAAAGCTTCCTTGGTTGTGGTGTGCTCGAGGAAGTTTGTAGAGGTTCGGTGGTCACCTTCCAGACTAACCCCGAGTAATTTGAGACTCGCCCGTTGGGGGTGACTCATAGAGAGAATAAAGTGAGCCACTTGGTGGCATTCCGGAGCTTTGGCTTCAGTACTTCTGCACTCCCCCAAGTTCCCGGATACATTTGCGTCCTCGCTCACTTGTGGTTTATCTGTTCATGTCCCTTTACTTGCTTTTTGGCTTGCTAATTAGCTTGTTGTCCCTTTACTTGCTTTTTTTTGCTTGTTGGCTTGGTGATTAGCTTGTTGCTTAGCTTACCATTGTATTCCCTCCGTCTCAAAATAAGTGTCTCGACTTTGTATTAACTTTAGTACAAAGTTGTACTAAGTTAAGGCACTTATTTTAGGACAGAAGAAGTATTAGTTTGCTTGCCATATAGATTGTTCCCACCGTAGATTGCATATCTAAAAACTTGCTTTATCCGCTTTGCCCTTAAAATTTACTCCCTCTGTAATCTAAACACTCTTATATTAGTTTACGGAGGGGGTAGAAATTAAACTAAACAAGACTCTGCGCTTTTGAACCATGAAACCAATACCCAAAATACGACATACACGTTTAGTAATCTAAACACTCTTATATTAGTTTACGGAGGGAGTAGAAATTAAACTAAACAAGACTGCGCTTTTGAACCATGAAACCAATACCCAAAATACGACATACACAAAGTATACATGATGTCTAAGCAAACCAACTTACCAAACAAAAATGTCATGACAACCGATGATCAACCAACTTAAAAAGGAGTCATGACAAACGATGATCAAAACGGGACCCCACGTTTTTGAACGACAAAAGGCTTGGTTTCCACTTGGGTTAGTGGATAGGACATACTGCTTTTAGCTACTCGGGGAAGGAAGAAAAGGGAGGGGAATTCATCCCATCATCTCTTGTTTCCTACTGTGTAGACACTTATAGATTCGGTTACATGTCAATGCTGGCACAAGAATATTTTAGGACTGCACTGGAAGCAAGGCAGTAGTACATAAATTGCTGTAAACAAACGCAAGTGATCCGGGTATGAGTTTCGCTTGCTCGAAGAGCAAAACAGCACAGGCATCTTTGTTTCTTTCTTTAATGGAGGATTTGAACGTACAAATAGCCGCAAATGCAAGAAATGTCTCCTTCGACACGGTGTTCTTCTGTCAAAACAAAAAGAGGGAGAGCAATGGTACAAGTTAAGCACCTTGACCGCTCAAGGCTCACCTCCTTTCACATCACAACCTCGATTTCAGGACAGAGATGTCATCAGCGTCTCCTCCTTTCAAGCCAACCGATGCCATGAGATCCTCAGTAGACAGGGTCAGCCTCCGCCTTCTTTGCTCCCCCCTGACACGGATGTTGGCGCGAAAGGATCATATATCGGATTTGGGCCGCCTTGCCTGTTTGCATTCGGAAATGGATTCTGCTGCGGTGGCAAGAAATGAAACGGCATTCTGTTTGGATTTGCTGGAGGGAATGGTCGAAACCCATTAGGTGATTCATGAGCAGGTGGATTCCCAGGGAAGGTTCCATGGAAGTGTGGAAGTGGAACATGCATCCGAGCCGGACCCATATGACTTCCATCCGGAGGCCTTTGGAAACCTTGAACTGGGGAGATGGGGCTATGATTAGCAGGACGGAACGGCGGTGCTTGGGGTAAACCAAACGGAGAGTTAGCTTGAGCTCCCATTTGGCCCGCTGAAGCTGGATGGTCTGCTGAAGGTGGCGCGTGAGGCCTAAAGGTAAAATCACCTGTGGCTGGACGTGGAGGTCTGAAAGCAGCTATAGATGTCTGATTGTAGCCTGTGTTTGCTGAACTTGAGAAAGACAACCCGTGCATACCAGCAGGCGGGCGCGATGAAGGCGCCACTTGTGCATTGCCAGGTGTTGGTCCAGCTTGAGGGAAAGGTGAAAGTGTGCCTCTCATTTGAGGAGGTGTTGACATGGGAGGACGCATTTGCATCGATGGCGGGTAAGTTTGCTGTGGTGGCGCCCCAACAGGAGATGATAGTACTTGTACCGATGTAGGACCATGAGATGAAACTGAAGGAAAACACTGGGGGCCACCAGGAGGCCTGGAATGTAATGTTGCTGAAGGAGTGAAGTTTGCTCTTGGCGGATTCTGAGTTCCATAGCTGGTGGACATATTTGACTGAGAAGGCGCAGATGGAACTGGCGAGACAGAAATAGGAGGTCTCATTGGCATAAAACTTGGTGCACCTTGTGAAGGTCTCTGGGATTGTGCCATAGCAGGGGAGAAAGTTGGCCATCCTCCAGACGCATGGGGTGTTTGAAGGGGTCTAACAGGCAGTGGCGCTGCGGAAGATGTCAATGGTTGTGGGTTGTAAGCATTTCCAGGTGGTTGGCCAAAAGGTGGTCCAATGGAGGGGTTGGCTTGGAACTGCTGTGAAGGTTGTTGATTGTTCGGCATTGATGGCTGAAATCCAGGAAAATGTGGTGCGTTTCTTGGCATAAAACTCATGTGAGGAGATTGTCCTGTATATGGTGGCATGCTGAAAGAACCAGCAGGAGGTTGCAGCTGCAAAGAATTGTTGGGTAATGGGCTCAGTGTAGGCCCTGAGGAAGGAATTGATGGAGCACTGGTTTGCGAAATGGAAAGCCAATGAGCACTATGTGATTGGTACTGAAATAAGCCAGGCTGAGAAGTGGTGCTCTGCCCCTGTTGCATATCAGCTGGGTTTACACCACTAGAGGTAACTGCCGAAGAAACAATAGCTGTTTCTGGAGTATCTGTTGAATTTACCTGACAATGTTAAAATGATTTGGTGGTCAATTGACAGCATATTACAACTACAAATATAAGACCAAGCTTCTGAACTTACTGAGACAGGAGTAAGAAGCATCTCAATCAACGCAACTGCAGCATCAACTTTGTCATAAGAGTCAGCTGACACATGTATGTATATGTCCTCATAAGCAGCTTGCGCTTCATGTATATCTGGCTGGCGAACCTCAGCCTGAGCATGAATAATAAATTTAGGTGTTCAGTTGATGTAGTTGTGCTGAAATCGCTATCAGGATTACTTGCTAATAAAAGAGTAAATAATCAAGAAAAAGATGTGCTTAGCACTTGAGCATCATAGTTATCACAGTCCCTAAAAGTAAAGCTTAAACAGAAAGTATGTCTAAAGATCTGCTGTGGAAATGATCCTAACTAACATTTTCGATTAGGCGATACAACAAAGATCAAGAACAAAAGATTAACAAAGGCCCAGCATTTTTGTTTTGTTTCAACTCAATACAGTTTACTAAATCTACGCTCAAGGGATTGCATGTCCAACTGAATACTTTGCATTAAAGATGTATACGAAACAGCACCAAATACAAAGCTATACCAGAGCACAAACAACACATTTAAGAAGTTTGAAACAAGTCATAATAGTTTGTCCATCAATGTACAGTACGAGGGTATGACATACTGCTCTCACTTACATGGAGAACAGAAATGTTATTATAAGTTAAAGGAATCAAGAAAACAAGTTAACCTTTTCACCACTGCCTTTCTTAGTCCCGTAAACTCGTATTTTAGCTCCAGTTTCCTGGCATATGATAAATGATGTGACGGTACATTCTAAGAAACAAACATATTCTCGTGAATGTTTCGACCAATTAAAATGAAGATTTCCAAGAATGACTCATTAATACCTCCTGTAGTCGCTTCTGGGTATTTCTCTCAGGTCCTATAAGAATTCCAATGATGTTTTGTCCTGGATGTGCTTCTGTCTACAATAGCCAACAGCACAAGGTAAATGCAACACATTTATATAGAGAGAAAGCAAACCCAAATTTGTTATCTACCCAGATTTAGAATTTATTTTAAAAGGTATTTGTTAATCGTGATACATTATACTAGCAGATGGCACTAAAAAGCTGACATGAGAACCTTCAGATATGAATAGAAGATGGACACCGCTACAAACAAGTGAAACAACTACTGGTACAAATGCAAACACAAACTGATCGATAAGCATTAAACAACAGTGCATTTACATACAGGCAGAGGGATTTTTGTCTCCTTAAGTAATGGCTTGTAATCATCAGGAGCCTTGTATGCTGGATTTAGTTGGAGTATTTCTCCTACAATGAATACACAGTCAAGTTAATAACACACTTCTTTAAGACATAATACAACAAAGCATGACTAACAGTCTACTACAGAGGCATTCAGTCCCTGCATAGTTAATATGCTTAAGCAATATTGAACATGGTATGCCCCCTTGAGGAAGCAACCTTCCATCAGAGACAGGATGCACTGCCACAGCAGTAGTTCTTTATTCAGAAAAATATGACGTGAAAGACACAGAGTAAGAGAACAACTTCTCCCACCAATAATTTCTCGTTTTTCAAGCTCCAAGAGTTTAATCTTCCCCTGCCGCAAAACAAAAATGAAAGAAGTTACCAAACGAGAGCATATAATTGTTTCGACATAACCATAAGCACCAACCAACATGCCTCCAAAAGCATATCAAATGAGAGCATAATTTGATTGTACAACTCATTTCCTCTATAAAGCATGCACCTGGGGTTACCAGTTACGAAAACACATACTAAACTAGATCCAAACGTTGTGAACAACAGAAAGGGGGCGACAGCACGGTGGTCACTCAATGAATACCTCATTCTCTTTTGGATTGTCAGCACCATCAGAACTTGAACCCTTCACCGTAATCAATGAGCCTTCGTTTCCTCCTATCACTAGAGCTCCAGATGTCAGCTCCTTTGTAATCTGCTCCACTCTAGTCTGCTCATGCACTATAGTGAATTAATGACACCTGGCAATTGAAGCTTCCTACATGAAAGAATCACAAGAAAATGCTCTTTTCTGTCTGACCAGAGGAAGAGGAACTACCGTAATCATACTTGGGCCTTGCTTGGACGGAAATGTGGAATTACAGGCAACTCAATAAGATGTTTTACAAGACTTTCTAGTCATACAAAATGACACAAGGTGTCAAGCTGGTTCTATGGTTGCTAAAGTAACTAAATAAACGTCGTTGAACATATCTAAATGCAATCACATACTGGTTCGCAGGCTATGAAGAGAAACAGGTGTTTTAAGAATACATGATTGCAAGGGGTAGATCCTTATGACTGAATGCGATCTGGAACTATTGACAACACGTCTTAGCATGCCCAAGAAGAAGAATGCACAATGCAGGGTTCTACTGTTAATGATTGAATGTAGAGATGCAACTATGAGCATGACAGCTGCCTGAGTTTGCTAAAGATACACAGAAACATAGTTGCACAAACTCTTGCATGCTTAACAGTAAAGAAGTGTTCCAGTTATCTGCATTGCAATATCAGAGGATTATACTGATGCAAAGTCCTGTTTCCCATAGTTAAAAACTCAATGCTATCCTTTCTGCGTTGCTAATAGTACAGATATAATTTAGCAAATGGCATACAAACAAAAAGGTACTCTGAGATAGAATGTGCTATAAGTCCAACTACATGGACGGAGAGCACTAGATAATACTTGAGCTCAAAACGGTTATTCTACCTGGTAAGCAAGAGCTTTGGCTTTCCTGACGGCAGGATCGGAGGTAAGATCAGGCCCCCACTTTGTGTTTCTTTTGAGAGGTTTAGGGTTCTCTTCCTTGGGGACAGTTGGTGCTTCAACCTTGCGGATAATCATTGAGCCTGGTATCTTGTTTTTTGGTATGACGAATCCAGCTTTTGCCCCGAACATTGACAGCTTGGGAGGCAAAGATGGTGACATGGTAGGCTTTGGTTGTCGGGCAGGAGAAGATTGTTCAAGTTTCGCGGCCATCTGGAATCGATCAATAAAGGAGAATTGAATCCTTGAGGCTGAACCTATTAAGACCGAAAGCGGGAAGCAGGGAAGTCGAGAGAGACGCAACAGCCGGAATGACTCACCGTTTCTCCCTGCGCCGAGCCGGGGCGCCGCCGTCGGTGGCCGAGCAGAACCTAGGTATGCGGCGAGGGACCTCGGCGGAGGTTGGGGACGGCGCGGAGGCAAGGGAAGCGCCGCGGAGGGCGGGAGCGCTACGGTGGGCGGAACGGGGCGCAGGGTGGACGGAGAGGGACGCGACGACGGCCGGCCGCCGGTGCGGCGCGTGAACTGGGCGCAGCTCGCCTGCTCGGGTACGGTCGGCAGGTTGGGCGAGTTCTGTTTTCTCCCCTGAAGTGCTTCAATACGATGAAATGCCACAGGGTCAGAGCATCTCCAGCTGCAGCCCTAACAAGCCCTTTCCATGCGTTTTTACCGTGCCGGCATCTAAAATTCAATCCAATCACGTCTCAGAAACCCGTTTTTCGCGGGCTTGGACCCAAATCAGCGCCGGCGGCCCCAAGCCAAACCCGACGCGTTGGGGCGCTCAGGGGCGCCGGGGCGAGGGCTTTTGGCGCGAAAACTCGACGGGCCCGCTGAATCAGCGACACGCGCCTCGTCCTCTCCAAAACGCCTCGGTTTTCCGCGAGGAATCAATGGCAAGGCTGACCGGCATCAATGACAAGGCTGCCGCCGGTCAGCCTTGCCATTGATTCCTCATCACGGACGACGCATCACGGGCGGGCAGGCGCGGCGACGCCTCCCCTTCTGCGCGTTCACACGCCCTGAGGCTATATAAACAGAGGTTTCCCTTGCCGCTGGTCACACCAGCCGCCGTCCCTCCCTTCCGTCGCCGAGCCCACACCAGCCGTCGTCCCTCCCTTCCGCCGCCGAGCTCTGCCGCTCTCCCCTTCCCTTTCTCTCTCCATGGCCGAACGCTTCCCCGGCGACGCCGCGGCGGCCAAAACTTCGGTCGCCGCACGCTCCAAGAATGCGAGTCATGGCTTCTCTTCGAGGCGAACATCCCGGCGCCGCCGGACATGCGTGCCGGGCCAACGGTGTAACGCCACGAGACTGATGTGTCAGGTGTCTTTCAGTTATTTGCTTGAGTGTTGCATCTTTCCATGTCATCATGTGCATTGCATCATCATGTTTTCAAAACTTGCATCCGTCCCGGTCTCCTCTTTCTCTCCGTTGTCCGTTCTAAGCCCAGACACACTTGCACGCGCCCGCGGCACGTCCGAAATATTATTTTATAAGTGGCCGGAAAATGTTCTCGGAGTAGGATGAGAGTTGGCGTGCGGTGTTGTTAGGTTGTAGGTAGGTCGCCTGCCAAGTTTCATCGTATTCGGAGTCCGTTTGACACCCTAACGGTTAAATATAGCGGCAATATAGTCGGTTTATCGTCGAACGTTTTCGGTCTCCGAAAACGGGTGCCGGGCTGCCTTCTTTCCTCTCCTCTCAACACAACTCCTTTTCACAGTCCACCTAGGCCCAGCCTACCCCTCTTTGCGCAGTGCATAGACCCCTCTCGCGCGTCCGAAACTTCTCAAAACCCGAACCGGACTATCGTTACTGTTGGGTCCGGATCATCCCCAGACATCTATAAAACATCACCATTTTCTTATTTGGACTCCCTAACCTATTTTTCCTGACCGTCCGATTTTGATCGAAGGGACGAGATAGCTCCTAATCTAACCCACAGCTATAAATATGAGTATAACCTTAATTTTGAGGAGAGTTGTCCCATCCTCCGAATCCCTCTGCCGCCACCAGTCCACTGCATCTCCCACCTCGGGATCCTCCCATTCCCCACCGGGCCAATCACTAGCCTCACCCGCCCCCGATCCAAAATTCTATCGGCCTCCTCTTTCCTCAATCCTCGAGCTCCCGCAACCAGCACCCCATTCGATCCACCTCGCCGGTGCCTCCTCCTCCAAATCCGATCGGCAGAGGAGCTCCCGATCTGAAGCTTTCTTGCGCCCGTGGTCCAGCGCGCCCGTGCACAGGGCCTCCTCTGCCCGAGCATCACCTCTCCTCCGTTCCCGTCGCTGCAGGCGACGAGCGGCGGCTCGCCGGGACTCCCAAACGTCGCCGGCGACCACCTCCAGCAGGACCTCCTCCAACACACCCAAGCTCCTCCCCTGCCCCAGCCGCATCTGCAGTTTCTCCTCCTCGAGCAGCGCATCCCCGAGCGAGGAGCGCTCGATCTGCTCGTGCTAGAGCACCTCCATGGAGCCGAGCTGCCGCACCTTGCCTCTGCCGCCTTCATCGAGCCTTGCCGCCAGCACCTCCATCCCCGACGCCCGAGCGAGGAGTTCCCCTCGGTCCTCCTTGACCCGCAGCAGTCAGGGCAGCCCCTCGAGCGGGAGGGCTTCGTCTGCCCGAGCCCCGCCCTGCCTCGGTCCTCCCCGACCCCGCATGCCGCGCCCTCCGGCGACCACTACCAGGACCGGCCATGCCCCGCTGCTTCTCCTTCCCTTCTTCTTCTCCCGTTCCTTTGGTTCCCTCTCTCATCTGCTCTCTGTCCTCTCCAGGAGACTGCAGGAGGCAAGCACCATGCCATGGCCTCCTCTGCTCGCCGACCGCATCGCTGTCGTTGTCTTCGCGCCCGGTTCCACGCCCTCCGTCCTTCGCCGCCGCGCCGGAGATCCCTGACGCCGCTGCTCTGCTCTGCTTCTTCTCGAGCAGAGGAGCGCGCCCGCAAACCTTCTGCTTCGCCTGCTCGATCCGGCCAAGCGAGCGCCTCAGCGCGTTGACCCCGTCACCGAACCGCAGACGCGCGCTAGTCCCAACCGCTTGACCGCGCCCTGCCTCTTCCAGCGAGGCCCAGCTGTGGACGCGTTCGGCGCCAAGGCCCAGCGCACCGACCGGTCCACCTCACCACCGGCCGGGTTGAAGCCCATGGTGAGGGCACCCCGCGCCCCTCCATTTTTTTCTCTTTCCCTCCTGTTGGGCCAGCGTGCTGTGTTTCGGCCCATAGATGTTTTTTTCCGTTCTGCGAATTTATCATTTTTCCTGTGAATGCATAATTACAGAAAATGCCCTTGTTTCAAATTGTTAATAACTAAATAATCGTGCATCGGATTAAAATGAATTATATATGTAAAATGCTTAGAATCTTGTCTAGTTTCATTATATCCAACTTTCATGCACGTTTAAAATGTTTAAAATGTTGTTTGTGTTTATTTTGCATAATGCCATGATAAAATGCTTTAATTCATAACTAAATAACCGTAGCTCCAAATTTATTAAACTTTATATGTAAATGGGGTAGAAAAATGCCTAGTTTAACTTGGTGCATTCATCTTGCATTTTTAACAACTCTAAGATTATGACTAGGGTAGAACAGTATCAACTCTAAAATTTGCATGTGGGGGTTTACCGGAATCGTTGTTTGTTGTTCCGGCCTCATTTAAACTTGCCTAGATAGGTAGTTTTATTATGCCTCATCTCTTGCCATGTTTAATAACATTTAATATTATTGAGTACATAACCGGGAGTGAACTAAATAAACGAATATGGTGCTTCGTCAATATGCAACTCGTTGTATATTGAGCTCCACTTAATTTGTAGCATTGTTTGTTGCATATTGCCATGCCATGCCTCTTTAAACCGAACATGCATCATACTTGGTTGTGCATCATGACATGTTTATGTGGTGATTGTTTATTATGTTGCTTGTTTGTTTCTGGGTTGCTTCTCTCGTTAGCTTCGGTTTCGTTCCGGAGTTGTGAGGACCCGTTCAATTACATCCGTTTGCCTTCTTCATGGACTCGTTCTTCTTCCTTGCGGGATCTCAAGCAAGATGACCATACCCTCGAAATCACTTCTATCTTTGCTTGCTAGTTGCTCGCTCTATTGCTATGCCGTGTTACCTACCACTTGCTATATCATGCCTTCCATATTGTTATGTCAAGCCTCTAACTCTCCTTTCCTAGCAAACAGTTGTTTGGCTATGTTACCGCTTTGCTCAGCCCCTCTTATAGTGTTGCTAGTTGCAGGTGAAGATGAAATTTGTTCCATGTTGGAACATGGATTTGTTGGGATATCACAATATCACTTATTTTAATTTAAATGCATCTATATACTTGGTAAGGGTGGAAGGCTCGGCCTTCTGCCCGGTATTTTGTTCCATTCTTGCCGCCCTAGTTTCCGTCATACCGGTGTTATGTTCCTTGATTTTGCGTTCCTTATACGGTTGGGTGTTATGGGAACCCCTTGACAGTTTGCTTTGAATAAAACTCCTCCAGCAAGGCCCAACCTTGGTTTTACATTTGCCTAACAACCTATAACCTTCCCTTGGGTTTTCGCAAGCCCGAGGGTCATATTATTTTAACCCCCCGGGCTAATGCTTCTCTAAGTGTTGGTCCAAACCGGAGCACCGTGCGGGACCGTCCCTTGGCAACTTGGGTTATGTTGGTACCTGTACGCTTAGCTTATCCGCTGTGCCCTGAGAATGAAATATGTGCAGCTCCTATCGGGATTTGTTGGCACATCCGGGCGGTCTTGCTGGTCTTGTTTTACCATTGTCGAAATGTCTTGTAACCGGGATTCCGAGTCTGATCGGGTCTTCCTAGGAGAAGGAATATCCTTCGTTGACCATGAGAGCTTGTGATGGGCTAAGTTGGGACACCCCTGCAAGGTTTTGAACTTTCGAAAGCCGTGCCCGTGGTTATGTGGCAGATGGGAATTTGTTAATATCCGGTTGTAGAGAACTTGACACTTAACTTAATTAAAATGCATCACCCGTGTGTGTAGCCGTGATGGTCTCTTTCTGGAGGAGTCCGGGAAGTGAACACGGTTCTTGTGTTATGGTTGTGCGTAAGTAGTATCAGGATCACTTCTTGATCACTTCTAGCTTCACGACCGTTGCGTTGCTTCTCTTCTCGCTCTCATTTGCGTATGTTAGCCACCATATATGCTTAGTGCTTGCTGCAGCTCCACCTCACTACCTTTCCCTACCCATAAGCTTAAAT